GCTTCTTCTTTTAATCAGTTGGCGACTTCTTTTCGGAGCGCGCGCCTGTACGTGTCGCGACGAATCGAGCGACGACGAGTATACTCGTCGAGCACAGAGTAAGCATCGCCGTTAAAATATTGGAGCGAAAAGACTTTAAGGTCTAAAGGACTAAAAAAAGAAAGGTTTTATTTGATGGAATTGACAATTTTATTACTGATATTTACTCGTTCGCTTAACATTAACATGCACTGCGTGCATAATAATCGAAGAAAAACGCAGAGAAAATCAGATACTTGTATTTTCATAACAATGCGAACACTAATGCGTAGGATCGGCTCAAAAATGTTCTAAGCATCTTGAAATTTGAGAATATGTTTTTGTTTTCACTAAAATTACAATTTAACAGTAAAATACTGACACTTTTTCATGACGAGTATACTCGTCGAACACAGCTAACTGGTTAAGATTATGTCAAGGTTATTTAAGTGGTTATTAAATAGCCGATGGTCGCTACTTTTTACCCGCGACGAGTATACTCGTCGTGACAGTAAAGTACTGCCACTTCTCCGTGACGAGTATACTCGTCAAACACAGCTAGCTAGTTAAGATTATGTCAAAGTTTTTAAATAAGTTATTAAACAGCCGATGGTCGCTACTTTTTACCCGCGACGAGTATACTCGTCGCGACACAAAATAACGCCGCTTCTCCATGACGAGTATACTCGTCAAACACAGCTAGCTAGTTAAGATTATGTCAAAGTTATTAAATAAGTTATTAAATAGCCGATGGTCGCTGCTTTTTACCCGCGACGAGTATGCTCGTCGCGACACAAAATACTGTCGTTTCTTCGTGACGAGTATACTCGTCGAACACAGCTAACCGGTTAATACGCTGAGGAAAACTATCAATTTATCATCGGCTCGGCAAGATTTAATTAAGACGAGCAAGATGAGCAACACGCGTTTTTCAGCATCGCGCGTCAATTAATTTTTTAAATCGCGCTACCCGTCACCTACTTTTACCGCGATAGTACAGCACGCGGCGCGCGACATGTAGGCCAACGAATATCGTCAACTATTTATGCTTCCCTGCGGCCGGCAAAGGAATACTTGATGCACGCTGTGCGTGCAAAAAGTGATCGTACCAGACGTCATAAGCGTTACAAGGGAAATATTAAATGTTACCGCATAAGAATTAATGCCATTCATTTAAATGAATTTTAATCATTACGAATTGATTAAAATTGTTCTTTGCTGTAATAACCATCGTCAATGAATGAAATTAAAAAATTACGGTGACTAGTTAATGACTAGAATAACCTTAACCAAATTAACCAAATGACCAAAATTTATTTCGCTAACTTGTAATCGTTATTGATGAAAAAAATAATAATTCTTTTAGTCACTGATGCTTTCGATAACTACTATTTAATGTTATTAAACATTTTCTGGATAATAGTCAACTCATCGTCAACTATACTAATTCTAACATCGCTGATAATTGACACATTTGATTAATTCGAGGCAACGCAGGCTGGTCCACGCGATTGTGTTTCAAGTTACAACTCCGTTATGAACGCATTTACGAAAAAATGCTGAAGAAAAAAGACGAAATCGCTCGAGCAGCACCGCATCTCTAGAACCTTAGACTCCTTTTCAAGCGCATCGGTGCACGTGCAATTAACGATTGCATCATTTCTGGAAGCATGTCTCAAATGGAAATGCATACTTTTAATAATGCACAGATAGATCACTGTGTTAATTATACGTAAGAAGTTATTAGAGTATCATGGCAAACTACAGTAATGTCTCTAATTGACGCTCAGGTTGTCCAAAAAAAAATGGACAATTTAGGGAGAGGAGATACGATTATTCGAGCCTTGCGGTTCGTTTTAATAGTTACGAATTGTCAACGACTATAAAAACGAGCTATATACAGGGTGTCCCAGGTTTTAATGTTCAAACTTTGTCAGTATATTCTATGGCACAAAGTAAGAAACAAATGTTATGTAAACATAGAGCTTTATATTATTGCTATTGAACGGTTGCTATTATTAGATTGCTAATTGCTATTAAATAGAGCTTTATATTGTGATAGCCAATTGCTATTAAATAGGGCTTTATATAATGTAAACATATAGCTTTATATTATTGTTATTAAACATATAGAGCTTTATTAAGAAGTTATAACAAAAATTCAGAATAGAAATAGTAATCAACTAAAAAAAGAAAGAAAAAGAAAAATAAATCTTCGATCGATGTCGATCATGTATCGTCAGCAACGGTTATTAATACGTTTCGAAATGTATTAATAAACACAGCTTACATAAACACACGGCATGTGCTGATCTATTCAAGCCAATGCTCGCAGTAACAGCAAGTCGATTACTATTCCTATTCTGAATTTTTGTTATAACTTCTTAATCAAGCTCTATATGACCTATGTTTACATAACATGTTTTTCTTACTTTGTGCCATAGAATACGCTAACAAAGTTTCGACATTAAAACCTGGGACACCCTATATATAGGCTCGAATAATCGTATCTCCTCTTCCGAAATTGTTCATTTTTGTGAATCTTAGCGTCAGTTAGGGAGACGTTACTGTACCCCGGTTGTTCAGGGTTACTCTTTTCTTCTCGTTCTCTTTCTAATTGTTCACGTACGAATAAAGTCTCTAGATCACGATTGTGTTATCCGAAAAATCATACTAATTTCCTGACTTTTTTCTGTTGCTAGTGCATCGCTGTGCGCCGCGACGTCGAAACTGGAAGCAGCTCCTATCGGAAACAGAATGTACGCGGGAAAGGGTTACGACGTCTCGTCGGCGGAACCGAAGTCGCGAAACAGTTGGCAGTTGAATTTTGCAGCCGACCGGAGGGTTGGAGCGGTTACCGATTAATACGGCAAGTTATCCGTTTAAGTATACGCTGTTATACGGAGCGGGCGAAGGTGCGCGCGGATAATAGAGAGTTTCGGGGACGCCGAAGTAACAGGACAGTTACCAAGTTCGGATAAACCGAGGTAAGTTTGCCGGCTGGTGCTTACGGGACTAGTGTCTGTCGGCGAAAACACAGTCGTACAAAGTTTATTCCTCCTCGTTCTCTCCTCCCCTCCCCCACCCCTATCCTTCCCGTCGCCCGTTCTCTTTCCCCTCGAGAAATACCGGAGACACTGATTTACATAACGATTAAGTTAATTAACGAGGTCCGCCGGCGGATTGTTAATCCCGCGCACGGAAGGACGCGCCGCGGCCGCGTCGCACGGTGTCGCATGGTGTCGCATGGTGTCGCATCGAACGGTTCCCATGGTGTTCGCTCCCGCGGAACGAGAATTATTAGCGGTTCCAGGTGTGGGGAGGGGGTTGTTTGACTTGCGATCGAGCAAGTTAAACGAGCCCGACCCCTTCGGAACTGTTGTTCTTCGTTCGTTACCGGCCGCGGCTGATTGATCCGTCGGGAATTCCCAAAAGCCAGATTTATGACGAGGGTTTAGCAACGCCGGATGTAATTTGGCCGAGTCCATGCACGTAGACAGCTTGCTCTCAACGCGATATCACTGCCACGGGAATGCTCGGAACGGCGCTCCGAATCGAGAAAGAAAGGGCCAGCTGACCTCTGGCCTGCGTTCTATCAATTTTTCAAGAACGCGTCTTCTTTTTTCTAATTCAGGAAGTCCTTCGAATCGGGGGCGTTTTTACGGGGCACAGGGGATCGAGAAAGTCTCGACGTGCGCAGAGTTTTCGCGCGATGTTATTCGCTTGTTCTTCGTACGAGAAACGAAACGTTTCTCCCAGTTGTTTCTATTGTTCCAAGCTTCCCACCCATTTTTAGCGCGTATATACACACCAGGATCAAATATTCCCATCGTTGAAATGTGCTGCCATCTATGTGGCATCCTCGAGTCATTTGAAGTAACTTTTTCCTTAGCGAAAATGCGATCCGCGGCTTCGTTTACGAGTTATCAACGAAAAACGGTGACTAATTAGAGGCGCGCGCGGCTGACGCCCCGCCCTCGTGGCCACTGCCGCTGCGCTAGATAGCCAGCGCAACGCGGCATTGGCCGCATGGGCGGAGCGCCGGCCCTGCTCGCCTCTTATTGGTCCCTGTTTTTCGATAATAACTCGCAAACGAAGCCGCGGAGAAAACTTTTGTAAAGGAAAAAGTTACTTCAAATGACCTCGGGAACCCCTCGTTTCTCGCTTGTACAATAATTTTGGGGCATCCTGTACAGGTCCCGCTGCATCTAATTTTGAGTGGTGAAATATTAAAAATAGGAAAGCGAATAACAGCTGTATTGCTATACGATAAAATGATGGTAACTGAATATTCCATTTTTTTTTGAGAATTCATATTGTGTCCATGAAAGGGTTAAATAGAATGCTACTTTGTCGAGTTGTTCACAATCTCGAAGCGATGGCACGCGGAAGGTAAAAAACGGGGGATATTATACTTCATCGAGTAGTCCTTTCGCATACAAATTTAATTCAACTTTTAATTCCACGAAAGAGACTAAAATTAACCAGTGCAGCTGGTACTTTCCTCTTCGTTTTGCATATCGAAAGAAAAATATATCTTATTCAGACACTGCAACGTAGCATGAACTTTTTAATTTAACTTTGAATTTTCTAACCGAAAAATATTCCGTTCGGACGTTACGACGCGTCTGTATAAATCAGTACGCAATTACGATCGGTGTGCCTCTTCGAGCACCGTAGTCACGACAAGCTTTATTCTCTTGTCAAAATCCAGCAGTTGCGAGCTTCAGCGCGCGTTACGCGGTAGCTGCGGAACGGGACGCGCGGCTTTAATCGAACGCGCGCGATAAACTTCGCGCGTTCGAAAATCCTGGCGCGAAGAGTAGTTTTCGCAGCGGGACACATTTGCTTCGCGTCCTTACGGACCGTTATAGACGCCGATTGCTTCTTCAGCCGCGTTTCCGTTCCCCAAGACGGAACTAATCGACAACGCTACCCAGCATGGTTGCGTTTTGTAAAAAAAAAAGTAGATTGCTACTCACGATATCGAAGTCCAGGTTCTCGGCGATCCAATCCCGTCCCTGTTTGAATTCGTCATGGAGTCCCATGATGTACAACGTGTCCAAACCGTCGACGATCGTCGCGCCCATGTTCGCCGCGCCGAATATGCTCGCGCTGTGACCTTTCTTCGAGATCGGTTTCAGCTCGTTCTTTCCCCAGGCGTACCTCACGTAGTTGTCCCAGCCGTGCTTCATCATCTGCGGGAAGAACGAATGAACGGATTAGGACTGGCTAATATTACGTGGAACGGGAATTTGCTGTTGATGAGTTTGGGACAAGTTTGAAATATATTCTCATATTAATATTATGTTATTAATATTATATTATTAATATTATATTAATATTATGTTATTAATATTATGTTATTAATATTATATTATTAATATTATGTTATTAATATTATATTATTAATATTATAAATTATATATTATATTATTAATATTATATTATTATATATTATATTATTAATATTATATTATGTACCGTGAATTCTCCCTAAATCGACTGCTCAGATTCTGCACGAAAATGGACAATTTGGGAAGAGGGGGTGCGATTACTCGAGCCTTGCTGCTCGTTTTTATTATTGTTGCAAATCGGTAACTATAAAAACGAGTCGCAAGTCTCGAATTCGCAAAGCCCTTCTTCCCAAATTCTTCCCAAAAAAGGCTTCCTCGTCCATTTTTGTGGACAATCTGAGCGTCAATTAGGAGGAAAATATTGTTCAAACTGTTGAGCTCGACAGCACAGTTCAAGGTCACAGCAAACAGTCAAATTCACATATTTCTACATAAAAATGCTTGTTATAAATTATGGAAATTTTTAATGTACAAATTTCAGCCAATTTAATACAATTTACGTATCTGCAAACGATTACTTTTATTCCACGCTCTTTGCATATATTGTCTCTAATTGATATTGCTGTTTGTGCCTTTTGTTACATATATCATTTTTAAAACTTTCTGTCGCACAATCTGCTTGTGCAAAGTAATCTTTCCAACGTTTGATGAACAATAAGATTTATTAGAAAAGTGTAATACAAATCGTAATACAAAGCGAAAGAATTCGACTATCATCGTTGCGCCAACCTGGTGTAATACAATTTATTATTGTACAAGATTATCGCTGCGAATAAATAAATATCCACAGTCACTCGATTCTCGTGTTCGTATTCCAGCGTAGAACAAGTTGAAACTTTTCACAATTAGAACTTCACGGCGACTGTTCCTGGTACATACATACATACATACATACATACATATATGTATGAACACCTGCTGTTTACGCACATGTTTGATCCTTATATTACATGTGTCTGTGTGTCTAGCAGAATTTACAAACCGGTCCTGTATGTAGCAAGCCTAGTCTGACTGATGGTGTCTACATTTCGTGGTTGCTGCGGTTTCAGGCCAGCAGGATGTTGGAAAAGGAAAATGTTTGTTCCCCGTTCAAATAATGTACACTGCTGGAACAGACGCGTATGCAGCGCTTGTTGGTAACACTGCACAACTAAATTTTAATATTTTCCAGACTTCTAAACTTGATCTTTCACAAAGATCAAGTGAAATCGATCTTTGACGACGATTGAAATCTTCTGTTGAAAGTTTTCAGTCTCCCATTGTAGGATTATTGAAGTTACAAACATGGTTTCACAGAAAATTATTGCATATTACATATATTATATTATATATTATTATATATTATATATATCATATTATATTGTATATTATTACATATTATATATAGTATATTTTATATGTATTATATTATATCGTATATTATTACATATTATTATATATCATTAATAAATAATTAGACTTGCTCTACCAAAGTAGCAGAAAAAAAATGGTCAACGACACCTGTAAACAGAATGTCCCAAAATTACGATACTTCCGGGAAACGAGGGGTTCCTGAAGTCATCTTAACTAACCTTCTCCTCAGCGAAATTGCAATCCGCGGCTTCGTTTACGAGTTATTCAAGAAAAACAGTGACCAATTAGAGGCACGCTCTCGGGTGGGGCGCGGCGGCCGAGCCAATTGAGAGGCGAGCTCGCCTAGCGCAAGGCGGCCGAGCCAATCGGCGAAACTGGGCGTCGAGCGCCAATCGAGCTCGCCTCTCATTGGCCACCGTTTTTCGTCAACAACTCGTGAACGACGCCACGGAGAAAATTTTCGTAAAGGAAAAAGTTGCTTCGAATGACCTCGGGAAGCCCTGATTTCCCGGAAGGATCATAATTTCGGGACACCCTGTATATATACTGCGGGTCCGTGTGCAGTGACCCGCAGGTATAAGGGATTAAAGGGAGACTGGTCAAAGACAGTGCTCATTTACCGGGGGGAAAAACGTCATCTTGAAAGCCGTAACGGAAACTGTTTCCTTCGTTTCACGCATCTTCCGTGCCACATCAAATCCCAACAAATTCTCGTAAAGCTGGCAGCAGCGCTGGCTCGAGGGAGCGCAATCCGGCGGAAGAGGGGAAAGCGGCGAGAACAGAGGGATGGCGGATGGAGTCGCCGGGATACCGGTGGCCGAAGAAGGGAGCGACGTTGCAGAAAATTGCAGAAGGTAGCCATCGCTGCAGACGGTGGCTCTCGGATCGCGGCGATCAACCTTTTTTGTCGTTATCCGCGTAACCGCGGCTAATTTGTTCTGCGGCGACCGCAAGCCGAGAGAGAGAGAGAGAGAGAGAGAGAGAGAGCCGGAGACCTGGACAGTCGACTCCGTCGCTCGGTAATCTGGTTAACATCCGTGTTAGGATTAAACCATTAGCCAAGCGGGAAGGACACTGGAGGAAGAACAATCGGGGGAGGCGAAACTCGGTGTACGACGTGCGGTCTCGTCCGATTACTTTACCTCTGTCACGCTATTCTCGGCCCTGACACTCGGTTTCGCCTTTCAGCGTCCCCTTTAAGCACCAAGATTTGCTAGAACGCGCCAACCCTGCCGAACAGTAGTGCACGCTTTAATTTACACGGACTTGGGTGCCAGCTCGACGAAACCGGGGAATGGATAGGGTAGAGGCGCCGATTACTGTGCCCCGTTGATATTTCTTTAAGCACCAAGATTTGTTAGAACGCGCCAACCCTGCCGAACAGTAGTGCACGCTTTAATTTACACGGACTTGGGTGCCAGCTCGACGAAACCGGGGAATGGATAGGGTAGAGGCGCCGATTACTGTGCCCCGTTGATATTTCTTTAAGCACCAAGATTTGTTAGAACGCGCCAACCCTGCCGAACAGTAGTGCACGCTTTAATTTACACGGACTTGGGTGCCAGCTCGACGAAACCGGGGAATGGATAGGGTAGAGGCGCCGATTACTGTGCCCCGTTGATATCTGTTAGGAGTTTGAATTATAGTTCTTTGAATATTAAGAGAAAGGGGAAAACATTTCTGGACCAGTTACTTTGGCGGCTGTCGTATGTGTTTGTCGGGGTGCGAGAAAAGGAGAGGGGGGACGTTTCGTCCGGGGCCCGCTAGAGGACTCCATCAGTAAGGCTATTGTGGCGTGCGCACCTGCAAGCGGCACACAGCGCCACCTGCACCTTTGTAACTAGCTGTTGCTAGGCGAACCACTGGGCTCCCCATCAGTCTAATAGCTATCTCCCAAGAGGATAGACCTTCAGTCTAATAGCTACCTCCCAAGAGAGTAGACGCACAGTCTAATAGCAAGACGTACAAATAGTCTAAGGACGTACGCATAAAGTTGAAATCACGTTACAAGTTAAACCAAATTAACTGTTTCCTTTATTACCGAGAAGCCATCGTTCCCAGTTCTCAGAGAATCCAATTTAAGAGAACATAATACCAAGCAAACCGCCACACTATCCTAGCGGGCCCTTGCCTTAGACGTGGGGGTAGGACGAAGTCTCTGTATACAGGGTGTCCCACAATTATTTTAACAGCCGAAAATGAGGGGTAGCTGAGGTCATTTGAAGTAACTTTTTCCTTTGCGAAAATGCAATCCGCGGCTTTGTTTACGAGTTATTAACGAAAAACACTGGCCAATGAGAGGTGACGGTGCGAGAGAGAGGGTCCGCGAGAGAGTCCGCAGCACGAGGCTTTGACAGAAGGTCGGGACGGACTCGAGCCGCGTTCGAAGTATTGAACAAGTCACGAAGCGAGAACTTTCCGGATTTTTTTAACTACATAACAGTGATATTTTTAAGAAAAACGCTGTTCACCTTTACTTTAGAACGTCTGAAGAATATTTACTAATTTTTCGGACCCGAAATAATATGAAGTTTAACCGTGACAGCTGTTTTAATTTTCTGGTGTGCATGACACCTCGTGTGTACCATATGAAATTTTTATGCAAGGTGTACAGTGAAGATTAACGAATGATTTGCAAAGCTGATTTAATAATAAATAAGGGACGTAAAGGATTTGTTTATTAGAGAGATATGAAAAATATTATCAGTAAGAAACTCACCCATTTAGTTGAGGATGCATTTGCTGGCTGAAATTCATGATGTCGAAGGGCACTGACCTTGTACAACGTACAGCTGATCTTTCACTGCACTGTCACTAAACACTGATCACTTAATTAATCACTGATAATCCGAATCACTTGTGGATATTTAAGAAAGATCACTGAGACTCGTTCGCGGATAATCGTTTATTCGACGCGTTCGTTCGGAAGTCGACGTTTCACTGCCAAAAAATCGAGGCCTCGACCGTGGGCCCTTGTCGTTCGTCTTTCGGCCGTCCGAGGAAATAACACCCGATACTATTTTCTTCGAAGCGCAGGGTACCGCCAAATGAAATAAACAAGATATGCCGAGACGTAAACTGTGTCCGACCCGCTGTCACCCTGCGCTCTTAGAACGTAATTAATGGCCGTGCGAAGAAAATGGTATCGAGTGTCATTTCCTCGGACGGCCGAACGAAGAACAACAAGGACCCACAGTCAAGGCCTGAATTTTTCGGCAGTGAAACGTCGACTTCCGAACGAACGCGTCGAATAAACGATTATCCGCGAACGAGTCTCAGTGATCTTTCTTAAATATCCACAAGTGATTCGGATTATCAGTGATTAATTAAGTGATCAGTGTTTAGTGACAGTGCAGTGAAAGATCAGCTGTACGTTGTACAAGGTCAGTGCCCTTCGACATCATGAATTTCAGCCAGCAAATGCATCCTCAACTAAATGGGTGAGTTTCTTACTGATAATATTTTTCATATCTCTCTAATAAACAAAT